GCCCCTGGCTCTGTTACACGCCAGGCACTCTGCCAGGTGCTTCTCTCATCCTTTATCTAGTAAATCTTCACTACCACCCAGTAAATAAACGTTACTAACCACGTTTTACAAATGAATAAACGCAGGTCTAAAGTTCAATAGACATATGTCCAAAGCCATACAACTAGGATGTGGTCAGAATTCACCACCAGTCAGGCTGACTCAAAGCCCTGGCTCCTCCCGCTACACTTCACTGCCTTTGTGTGTCCGCGTCCTCCACATGGGCTGGGACTGAGACTCTTACTCGTGCATGTCTGGCCCATAGCAGGCATTAGCTAAATGTTAGTTCATGGAATTATTTTTCCCAAGACTAAAGATTAAAAGGAACAAAGAAGGCTATTTCATACAGATAAAAATTACAATCCAACCAGAACATACAATAATCACAAAACTTTATGCTCCAGGGACTTCCCTGGTGGCGCAGTGGTTAAGAATCCGCCTGCCGATGCAGGGGACACGGGTTTGATCTCTGGTCCGAGAAGACCCCACATGCTGCGGAACAACAAAGTCCGTGCGCCACAACTACTGAAGCCCACACACCTAGAGCCTGTGCTCTGCAACAAGAGATGCCACCGCAGTGAGAAGCCTGCGCACCGCAACAAAGCGTAGCCAAGTAGCCCCCGCTCACGGCAACTAGAGAAAGCCCGCAAGCAGCAGCGAAGACCCAACGCAGCCAAAAATAAATAAATAATTTTTTTTAAAAAAAAGAAACTTTATGCTCCTAACACAGCTTCAAAGTATATAAAGCAAAATTGAATCAAAAGAAAAAAAAAAGGAAAAATTAGCAAACCTCACAAAGTAGATTTTATACACCTCTATCAGAAATGAACAGAGGAAGTAAGCCAGTGGTTCTTAAACTTTTTGGCCTCAGGACCTCTTTACACTCTTAAAAATTATTGAGGTTTTAGATTAAATCAAAGAACTTTTCTTTATATAGATATCTACCATTTATATCAACATCTACAATGGTTAAAATGAAAACTGAGAAAAAATTTATATATTAATTCATTTCAAATAACTGTAATAATCCCATTATATGTCAACATAAATAACAAATTTTTCTGAAAAGTAATTACATTTTACAAAACAAAAAAATTTAGTGAGAAGAGTAGCACTGTTTCACTTTTTTTTTTGGCTGCGTTGGATCTTCGTGGCTGCGCAGGCTTTCTCCAGTTGCGGTGCGCGGGCTTCTCACTGCGGTGGCTTCTCTTGTTGTGGAGCACAGGTTCTAGGCACGCGGGCTTCAGTAGTTGTGGCACACGGGCTCAGTAGTTGTGGCTCACAGGCTCTAGAGCGCAGGCTCAGTAGTTGTGGCGCATGGGCTTAGTTGCTCCACAGTATGTGGGATCTTCCCAGAGCAGGGCTCGAACCCATGTCCCCTGCACTGGCAGGTGGATTCTAAACCACTGTGCCACCAGGGAAGCCCTGTCTTACACTTTTGCAATCTCTTTCATGTCTAGTTTAATAGAAGACAGTCAGATTCTTATATCTCCTGCATTCAATCTGTTGTTACATGTTGTTTTGGTTGACATATATGGAGAAAATTTGGCTTTACAGAGAAATGTAATTGGAAAAGAGAGTATTTTAATAGCATTTTTAGATATTATGGCTATCAAATTGATACTACAAAAAAATTGACAGGTGACAATTCCTTAAACGTTGGTTGTAATGTAGAGTCTGAATCCACATCAATAAACTTTTCTTACTCAACAGAGTAAAATCCTTAAAATCCATTGGTCTATCTTGTACCTTGAGTGGGTCTTCAAATTACGTACAATTTTGACCTTGTGGACTCCCTGAAAGGCACTTGGGGGCCCTCCAGGGAACCCTGACCACAAGGAGAACCACTGAAGTAGGCACTAAAAAAGCAGAAAAATGTAGGATTTGATAACATAATTAGCAATTTTTTTTTTTTTTTTTGGCCACACCGCATGGCTTGCGGGATCTTAGCACGCAGTCCTAACCACTGGACTGCCAGGGAATTCCCCATAAGTAGCAAGTTTAATCTAAGAGTTCTCTATGTAGAACTTTGCTCACAACAAACCATGAATACACATTTTGAACAAGTGGTTCCCTCCATCAGCTGGGGGAAACGTGTGCCTGGACAGACAGCAGACGCTCCAAGATGGACAGATGCCCAGCATGCCAGGTGTCCCACCCAGCTGCCTAGGCCCTGGGACAGCCTCATCAGAAAGGGATACGACATCAGAGCGCAGCCTCCTCCTTTCTCTGGCCACAGGCGGAAAGCGTCCTTGAACAGCTACCCCAGGGTGTAGCCCCCCACCTGGGTTCCTTTCCTGTGAAGGGCTTCCCTCCTCAATCTCATCATGGGCCCCATGTCAGGGCGCCTCGGGGGTCCGCAAGGCAGGGTTGCCGGGTAAAGCCTACCCATCCTCCTCTTCCAGGAAGTTTCTAGCCTGGCCCCTCTGCTCTTCGGAGCCCCTGGAACTGCCAGGTACAGACTCCCCTGGCTCTCAGACCATGTGTAGTTCTTACATAAGCAGCAGCAGGAACAATGCCTCACTCTGTCCAGGCCAGGCACTGGGATGCCAAGAACAGCACAGGAGACCAGCTACACAGGGAGCCAGCACCTTGTACAACCATCTGGGAGCTCCAACACCCGCTGCCAGGGCCCAAAACCACACCTCCCCTGGAGTGCAGAAGCCCTGCCAAGCCCAGAGCGGGTGGTGAGGGGTAAGCTGGAGTGCAGGGAACAGAACTGCCACTGAGAGTCCCAAACCAGAGCCAGGGCCAAGGTGTCCGAGGGAGCTTTCAGAACACACACATTTATACCCTAAAGTCACACATCCCTTGGCAATCTAACATTCCTAGGTATCTACTATGTGCTGGCATTGTGCAGGAGGCTTGCTTTCCACGCACCATCTTGTTTGCCCCTCACAATAACTGCTGAGGCGGTTCTATTTTACAAACAAAGAAATGAAGGGTTAGAATGGCTAAGTATTTGCCCAAGGTCACTCAGAGAGTATACACTTGGATTTGAACCTGGCTCTTTCCGTCTGCAGAGTCCAGGCTCTTGCACCATTACTACACTGCCTGGCCCTGCAGAGAGTGGTCCTTCACCTTCTGAGTGGTCGTCCCCAGAACCTCTTCACGCTGGGGTTGGGGGAGGGAGAAGGGGCAGGAAAGCTTTCTCTCCCCAGACCCAACTAGGTCATCCTGGACATCAAAAGAACATCCTGTCCCACCCTAGGGCTCTGTCTGCTTAATTTTCTTCTGCCTCCTCTGCCCTGCCTTGTGTCTTTTTCTCACAACTGGATCAGATGAAGCAGGGCCTATGTCTTTTGTATTTCTGTAGCCCCATCTGTGGGATACACACCTCGAGTCTTGCACACAGTATGTGCTTCCTGTGTGTCTGCTGAATATTAAGAGAAGTGATCCTTCACCCCTCTCCACTACCACTGCAAGGATAGATCCATGGGAAGATGGGAAACATTCAGGAGGATGGGTATGGGGAAGATGTTAGGGCAAGAATGGAGGCGGCAAGTGCCCCAGAAGTCCTGCCCCCGCCCATAGCACCCCAAACCCTCCTACAAGACACCTCCCCAGGGTACCTCCCCACCAAAGGCTGGGGAGTCAGTTCCCCAGCTAGGTTCTCAGGAAGGAGCTCCCCCCACCCCGGCCCACAAGCCTCTTGTCCAAAGCTCCTCCCACAGGAAAGCCAATGGAAGGCAGGGTCCAGACAAGGAAAAGACCCCAGACATGGGGTTCCTAAAAGCTGCCTCCTCTCTGATGCCTCCCTGGATATCCTCTTCAATTCCTTCCTTCGCTAGGCTCCCAGAGGAGGTACAGTCTCCTCCCTCAGCGTTTCCTACCCTAGGCTGGAATTTATCTTAGGGCAGAGTAGTTAAACCCTGGCCTTTGGAACCCAACACCTGGACTCAAATCATGGCTCCTTCATCTATTAGCAATGTGACCAAGGGCCAGTTACTTCACCTCTCTGAGCACCTCCCACCACAGTCATTAAGCCTGCAGACTCAGAACCCAGACCTCCTGGTCATGTCTGGGCTCTGACTCTGGAATCAGACTTTCTGGGTTCAAGTCCTGGCACCAATCTTTACTTAACCTTTTTGTCTCAGTGCCTTTATCTGTAAATTGAGGATAGTAATAGTATCTGCCCACCTAATAGCATTATTATAAGAATTAAACGAGGTAGTTTATGCAATATACTCAGAACAGACTTGACACGTAGGAAGCACCCAATAAGTGTTAGCTATCATTGGAAATGGTTGATAAGGCTGTGAAGTGCTGTGCAGTGTCTGAAGCACTTAATAAGCTCTCACTAAATAGTAGGTATGATTATCTTTGCCCCCACTAAGCTGTGATGTCCCGGAGGTGGGTTCTGGATCATATCCCTCTCTGATTCCCCAGCACCTCGCGCCTTGCACGCTGCCCGGCACCAAGCAGGAGCTCAATAAATGCGTGAGGACTGGGAGTGAAGAACTTCCTTGCCTGGACCAGGAGGGTGTGGGCAGCCAGGAGCCTCCTGCCGAGAGAAGGGAAAACCGAGGTGTCAGGGAAGAGAAAACAGAGCAGAGTGGTAAGGGCCGAGACGGAGAGATAACCAAGTGAAGTGAGTGAGAAAAGGAACAGGAGAGGCTGTGGCGGAGAGAGATAAGGAGGAAGGATGGAGAAGGCGAGGGGCGAGGAAAAAGCCTAGGGAAGTGAGGGAGCCCCGGGGAGAGGCGCAAGGCGAGGCTGGGTCAGTGGCAGGGGAGTGGGCGAGCGGCAGAGGGGCGCAGGAGCCGGCGCTGAGCGGGACGCGCAGGCCCCGGGGTAGGAGGCGCAGGGGGGGCGCCACCCTGCCTCCCCGCCTCGGGGCGGGGGCCGGGCGGCCGGAGATTGGCTGGGGCGCGCGGCGAGACCGGGGCTGGAGCTTCGAGGTGGGAGGCGCCAGGATCCCTCTGTGCGCGCGGTCGCGGAACGAGGCTGCCACCCACTTGGGCGACCTCAGCGGCAGGGGAGTATCGGGGGCCTGTGCAGCCATGCGGGCGGCGGCGGGTGGCGCGCGGGCGGCCGCGCTGGCGCTGCTGCTGGGAGCGCTGCACGGGGCGCCGGGGCGCGGCGAAGAGTACGACTACTACGGCTGGCAGACCGAGCCGCTGCACGGGCGCTCGTACTCCAAACCGCCCCAGTGCCTCGACATCCCCGCCGACCTGCCGCTCTGCCACACCGTGGGCTACAAGCGCATGCGGCTGCCCAACCTGCTGGAGCACGAGAGCCTGGCCGAGGTGAAGCAGCAGGCGAGCAGCTGGCTGCCGCTGCTGGCCAAGCGCTGCCACTCGGACACGCAGGTCTTCCTCTGCTCGCTCTTCGCGCCCGTCTGCCTCGACCGGCCCATCTACCCTTGCCGCTCGCTGTGCGAGGCCGTGCGCGCCGGCTGCGCGCCGCTCATGGAGGCCTATGGCTTTCCCTGGCCCGAGATGCTGCACTGCCACAAGTTCCCCCTGGACAACGACCTCTGCATCGCTGTGCAGTTCGGGCACTTGCCCGCCACCGCGCCTCCAGGTAGCGCTGCCGCCGCCGCCACCTCCCTACCCCCAGCCCCCAGCGCCCCGCGCGCTCCGACAGGATAGATGCCGCTCCCCCAACCCCTTAGCACAGCTCTTCAAGCCCCCAGAGGTGCCACACACACACACACACACACACACGTCTTTGCTCAGCCCTGCATGTCGCCCGAAGCCTACCAGCCTTCCCACCTGCGGCTGTGGACATTCCCACTGGTTCTCCCCCATTCCAACTCCGTTCCTGAAACCTCCCCCACTTCCCTCACAGCTCCCACCTTCCCAAGCTTCTGGAATCCCTGGGGGAGCCCAATGCTGTCACTCCATCCTGAGGTCTCCAATAAATGCCTTATAACCTCTCTCAGCCCACAAATGCCCAGGATTGCTAAGCACACTCTGGGCTATGAATTCCACCCTGTCCCCATTTTCTGCACGTGGGAACCCTAAATTTTCCCACTCTTTC